GAACAAGCAACCTTCTGATCTGGAGTCAGACGAGCTACCGTTGCGCCACGAGGTCCTATTTCTACTAATAGGGATCCAGTAACTGGATTTAAAATGCATTAAACATGTGCTTTCGATGTGCTTGTTTGGACTGAAGGACTGCAGATTTTTATTATGTAACAATATGGCATAATAATAACAGTAACATTAATAATAATAATGGTTATTATTATCTATTTTATTTAGTAATAATTAATAATAATAAAAATAATCGTTGTTTTTTATTTAATAATAATAATAACATAAAATAATATATTTTCTGTGTGCAGATTTTCCCCCCTTGTCCGAGAGATTAAATATTAAACTGTAAAAATCCAAAATTAAATAAATAATAAAAAAAACTTTTAAAAGTTAAATAGGCATATACAGTAGGCTTTTTATTGTGGAAAATATTTTGTATCACGTTGTAAAAAATATGATTTACATCATGACCAAGAATCTTGCAACTAACAAACTTTGTGTGTGTGTGTGTGTTAGATGGATGTCTGTCTGTGTGTGTGTGTGTGTGTGTGTGTGTGTGTGTGTGAGATGAAATGTCACACAAATATTGAAGAAAATACTGAAGTAAAAAATACAAGGTAAAAAACACTAATAGAATATCTGCATTAAGTCATAAACTGCTGTCTATGAAATTAAAAAGCAAAACAAAGGAGCCAAACATTCAAACATGTTTTAAAAATATCATTACAACCATGAAATTATTTATCAAACACAACACATAATTTGTGTTGAAATTTTTAAATAAATAAATAGAAACACAATTGGACATAAATGCATAAATATCTGATTTAAAAATGCCTATAATGTTTTATACACAAAATCATGTTTCTAATAAATTGACATTTTAAAACATTTTCCAATAGTAAATATAACTATTATAAATAATATAAACACAGTCAGTCTTTAATATTATTGTAATGAGAAGCAACATTAATCAAATTCATGATCAAATGAAGAACAAATGAACACTGACATTTACTGATTGCATGTTGATGTAATCTAAGTCAATAATGTAAATGAAATGAATAAAAATAACCACAGGTCACATGTTGCAACTCAATAGGATTGTCAGTCAGATGCAGATGGTGTGTACAAGCCAACCGAACGACTGATGTCATTAGACAGATACTTCAGATTGTGTCTCTTCACTCCTGCAGCGATCCCCGATACACACGCCAGATATGGGATGAGACTCTATTAATAAAATCAGCATGAGCCTGGCAATATGAGTGCAGTATCAAACTCCCGAAGGACTATACAGGAATGAAGCTGCAAAAGCCAAAATAGTTGTTAAAGATCAGTTGATTAGGATCTAAACTAAGTATCTGTGTCCAGAAAGACCAGATTCATGAGAGACTGCAGGCGTCTGACTCCGCCGGAGTGAGTTTGCTGTGAACTGATGGAGGAACGTTTCGAAAACCTGTCTGAAAACAGTCAGTGTTTGGGCACACATCATTTCAAATAAATGTTACAAATAAAAATATATCTTTTTAAAATAATTTCATAATAATATAGTAATATAACTTAGATATTAATAATAATATAATAAGAAACTATAAGATTTTTAATTAACTAATAATTAATTTAAAACAAAGTAATTTAATATAATAATACATTTTTAACAAATATTTATTTTTAATAAATAATATTTTAAATTAAAACAATGTTTTCAAAAACACTTTTTAAATATACAGTATACTGATCAATATTATACAGAGTATTATATAACTTTTTAAAAAATTAATAATATTTAATATATGAAGGGAAGCATTTATAAATAAATGATGATAAATATCAATATTATAAATTATGGTAAATATGTATATATTATATATTTAAAATAAATGTTACAAATAAAAATATACATTTTAATATATGTTTTTTAATATATAATAAATGTATTAAAACATATTAAAAATATATATTTGAATATGTTTTAATAAATAATTAACATGTTAAATATAAATATTTGAATATTTGAACATTTTAATGTTTTTTTTTTTACATTTGCAAACACTTTTACACCAAATACATTTAAATATTATGATATATTCTTAGATTTAATATAGCTCAGATAATATATTTTTTAGTCATTTTAAATAAATATTGAAAAACATTTAACATATTTTAAAAATTATGTTTGGCAAACATTTTTAAATTATATTTTAAATACACAGTATATCAACACATTATACAGTATATTCTATTAATATTTATTAATAATATATACACACATACATATTTCCTCCTGAGTCCCAGAAAAAAAGCTTTGTGGATTTAGTATTTTTTTCATGTCATTACATTATTTAGAGCATAAGAAAAAATGTAAAAATAACATTTTTGAAAAATGATATTTTATTCATATATTATGCTATGTCCTCTGTAGAGGACACCAAATGTTAAAATAATAATAATATTAATAAAATTACATTAATAGACATGAAAAAGCAAAAAGGGGGGGGATCACCAATCAATTTTTAGGATGATTCTCAACTATGTTATAAAATATCTAACAAAATGATTTGATATACCCTTTTGCTTTATGCAATATGTGTATAAAAATTCCCATAAACTGGTTTTCCCATTAAACACAATGTATCTATGCACTGTAATTTGAGCATGTTGCACGCTCCGCATGCTGAAAAAAAGAAGTGTAATAATGGGAGTAATACTTTGCCAGATTTTCGTAATAATATCTAATATTTCATAAGAATATTGATATATAATTCATTTTCCTATTCAATTGTTTTGTCTCCCAAAATGCATAATAGACATGCTTTTAGTCCTGGTGTCCTCGGCAGTGGACATGTATGAAATTACGTCCAGTTTCATAACAGGAAGTCATATTATAATTTGAAACCCCATAACATTTTCCTGAGATGTTGATTTATGACAAACAATTTGAAAATGAATCATATTTAAATGATACATGATTGCAAAATATTATAATTTTTCCATAAGGATGTACGATTTTATCACTAAACTAATGTCAGCCAATGTCAAGACCAAGGAGAGGGAGTGGTGATGGTGAAACTGCCAAACACCAGGTATCTCTGGAAAGCCCTGAATCACATTTAAATACACAGTATATATATTATATAATACATTATAGTACACAGTATAATATATTATAGTAATATGTATATAATATATTTATTTTGATCATTTATATATTTAAATTACGTCCAGTTTCATAACAGGAAGTCATATTATAATTTGAAACCCCATAACATTTTCCTGAGATGTTGATTTATGACAAACAATTTGAAAATGAATCATATTTAAATGATACATGATTGCAAAATATTATAATTTTTCCATAAGGATGTACGATTTTATCACTAAACTAATGTCAGCCAATGTCAAGACCAAGGAGAGGGAGTGGTGATGGTGAAACTGCCAAACACCAGGTATCTCTGGAAAGCCCTGAATGTGCTCAGCACAGGACATCCAGACTTGAGCTCTCAGAGAAATACACTCAAATATAACGTCCACTACAGAGACAAAAACTCCATAGCTGGGTCTGGATATATTAATATATATTTAAATATTTATAAATAATATTTTAAAAATAAAACATTTTTAACATGTATTTTTATAAGTATTTAAAAACATTTATATATATATATATATATATATATATATATATATATATATATATATATATATATATACAGTGGGTACGGAAAGTAT